AGAATACCTAGTCAACCATGACAAACTTACCAAGGTTACTTTAACTTCTTTCAATCAAATGCATCATACGGATATATATATATATAGCAGATAAAGCACTGCTAAAATAGAGCTCTTTTTACAGCTAAATTATGGTAATTTGATTTAACATGCATTCCTCTAGCTTTCTAAACAGCCAGGAGTAATGCTTTGGTCATGAAACTGGGAATGGACTAAAATGCCTAATTATTTCTAGTGAATACATATAATCCATCTAAAACACAGAGGACGTTTTTATAATCAATAATGAATACATTATAATTACATTTAGGGTCATTTGCATAATTTAGACTGGAGTAAATACATGAATGATTTTTATGTCCATTTAAAGGGCAATAATAAAATATAAAGTAAGTGATGAGATTTACACAGAGTAAGAAGTAATGAATAATATCATGAACGTTAAAGTACAATGTTTCATCTGGGAACATAAATCGGACCGACTCATTTTTGCAGGTGCTGTGGGAAAAGTATGAAAAGTCAGCAGTTTAAAAAAAAAATAATATGGAAAGCAAAGACAGGATTATGGATTCTAATCAAATATTCAATGCCTTATTTGAATAATTAATACATCAGTCTGGCGCTAATACAGAGCATACATTCGACAATTTTCATAAAACATTTTTTCCATTTAAAGGTGCGTGTCATTAGCATTTATGAAGTTTTACCTAAACGTCGAAATAATGAGTGAGAAGGCTGCTCTGCGTATTTTTCCTCTGGAGAGTCATATCATAAGTGAAAATAAATATTATGGTCTTATTCTATTCCTTAAGATAGTAATCATTAGTTCTGGAGGACACACAGGTTTCTAAGTAAATACAAAGCCTATGCTAGTCTCAAAGTCATGGATCATGGATTTGATATTAATGAATAAAACATAGAAAGGCAAATAAAACGGTGGTTCAATAAAAGTCAACCTGCTTAAAGAGAACCAACGTGAGAGCTATTTTTTAGAGGAGCTATTATATGGAGCCCAGTTTGAAGTTTGCTTCCTTCCCAATGCAAAGGAAGAACTAGATAGGATAGAGAAGAACAGTGTAATATAGTGAAGTAGTAAAGTGGTATGTCTTTAGTGCTTGTTAAACATAAAGAAATAAAAGCCAATATCTGTATCTATGTAGACCTAGAGAGCTTGGAGAAGCAGTGAGAAAGAAGAGATTTGTTCTCCACTACAGAAGATACCATCTACATGTTAATTACTTAGATGAAGATACTGGATTTCACAAGTTCTGCTCAGTGTCACATAAGTAACTTTCATAATGACACTTGGAAAATATGTCTTCAGTTGCCTACTGTTGAGCATCATAAGGGTCCTAAAATCTTCCTGAGGAAATTGAACATGATTCTGCAGAACTTGGCAAGAATATAAGTGACCACAGATACCATTTTACATTAGGGGAATTTCAAGCATGAGACAGGAAGACTAAAACAAATTTTGAATGTTGCTGACTCTGCTGGACTGAAATAAAGGAAGACATAAGAGAAAAAAAAAACAATTCATGTTTTTAACAGAGCACAGGGGTAAAAACATGTCCAAAAAAATCAGTGATAGGTGAAATGCCACCACTCAAGTACTTAAAACAGATTAATAACCAAATAGGGGAGAAAGCAGAAGAACCTGAGGCAAATTATACCCAGCTGGATTTTACATGCGAGACTAGCTATACCCAAATACTGTGGGTACATGCAGATGTTACATTTAGTGTTGATTTGCACAGATGTCCAGGGAGATTAAATCAGGTAAAAAATGGCCAGCCTGATTTAAGTTGGTTCACCTGAGGAGGTGAACTTAGTTAGATAGGCAACAGATTAGCCTGATTTAGTAAATGCCTGCATGAGTTTGGAGGGTAGTCCCAAGGCTAGGAAAGCTCAGCCTCCACCCCCAGCCCTGAGGCTGTCCTCTTCTTATCTTCACCCTTCACCTGATGAGGGTATTTTTTATCCCTACATTCCTCCCACCTGAGGGTAGACTATTCCCCCCACAGATCCACTAACCCCCACTGCCTTCCCACAGACCTGAGCCTCCTCCCTGATCCCAACACCCCACCAAATGGACCTGCTAGCCTGCCTTGATCCTACCCAACCCTCCCTTTACTCAAATTACTGACACTGGGTTCCTCGCACAGCTCCCAGCACTTGTAACCATGTGTACAAACCATTCCTGATCTACAATCACATGGCTTAAAGCAAGCTGCATTTCATAGATTAGGTGTGCTAAACATTTGCACGTACCCGAAAAGACTAAGTTGTGAGTATATCAGCATGAGAGATTGAGAACTTTGAGATCAGTAACAGACAACACACTGCTTTTGTTGTTAAAAACAGCAACAACTGAGAAAAAGTATCCCATAAATGCCAACACTTCCTTATGCATGCAGTAAGATTCTAATGAATACTACGTAGCACATCCACCAAAGTCATTTCAGGAATGAGAATTAATTAAGATAGCCTCTAGGGATGCTACACAACTCTGTTCTGTATCTAGATTTATCAGTCAAGATTGGCATTTCAGGACTTTTATGCAGTAGAGGAGTGGATTAGCGCTGTCAATCTTGCACGTAATCTTAATTCTAAGTGACCCTGCTTCAAAGAAGGTGAGGAGGAAGGCAGCTAAATTTAAGAGATACCAGGCTTTCACCTCTGAGCATCAGATTACAGTCTAAAGCATCTAGCATCTTAACAAGGAGACCCAGTCCTGATAAAACTGGATTAAGAAAAAAACTGGAAAACACTAAATGTTATCAGTGAGCAACCTTACATTTAAAGATTCTCCATTTGTTGAGAGCACTGAAGCCACTCAGTTAAGAAGAACTGGAGGTGTCTTCTGCTGGTACAAAACCTGGGTGAATAGTAATACAGTGTGACTAAATGAAAAGGTACTCATGTCACAACACTGGAGACAGGAGACAGCCCTGTTTGAAAGAAGTCCTAAAGATGCAGGCATTATCCCTTTGCACTTACATAATCAGAGAGAGACAGACAAAACCTTGAAAAGGCTAGAACTGGATTCCCTGGGCAAGGACACAGATAAGTAATGAAGCCAGTGACTTGTCTAGACATTTAAGTCGCTCTTAAAAATAATTCTTATGAAAATTGCTTATATAAAAATCAGGAGAAGGAAGCTGCAGGTATAGTCATATAAGCTTTTCTTAAATTGTAGCAGAAAAAACATGTGAGGGGAGGGAAGAGTTAAGCAGGGGACCATGGCAAGGAATGTGTTATGAATAATGCACAGATTATGGAGAACTTGGAAGTGCTCATCACTGCTTGCATGCACATGCATACACACACCCATGAATACTGCTTACAAAAGAAAATACATATGAAGTTAGCAAAGTCTGTCCAGGTATGTGCACTGAACACAAAGTTGGCTGCGAAGATGATGGAAATTCAGCAAGATGAAGGACTGTTCGATCCCTGAACTGAAAACAAACTGGATAAAACAAATTCTTATCAACTACATTTAAATTGAAACTTGTGGATAACAGATTTTTATTGCACCCCAAATGTTGGAAACAACTTACTCTGCTGTGGGCAGTCATTAAAACATTAAAAATTGAAAAAGAATTAGGCCTTGTCTACACTGCAATGTTGTACTGATTTAACTATATGGGTACAGTTAAAGCAGTACGACGACTTTTGTGTGGATCAGTGCTGGACAAAAGCAGGGGTTTTGATTTCTGAGAAATTTGGTGTTTGGGTTTTGTCCACAAGGTCAAAATTCCCATAAGACAGTTGTTATTTTCACTGGTGCTACAGAAATCCCAGGGTCCCCAGCTCTGAGAGAGACCTGCCAGGTAGACTGCCTTTAGATTCTAAGACTCAAGAGACTTGGGTATGACTGCAGATCTACAGACCCTGGAAGTTTTGGGTCTGCAGCCTTGGGGCAGTCCACCAGGAATTCAGGTAGGTTTGGTTCCATGAAAATTGGAACAGACATTTTGGCCTCAGTGAATTGGCACTGTCCAATGAAACAAAGTTTCACTGGAATATTTCTGACCAGCTCAGGTATGGACACAGTATAATGGTGCTTATGTCTAGATCAGCTGTTGCCATATAGAACACCCTTATACCACCATACCTTGTGTCTGCAATAGGGCTTGTTCTGCTGTAGCTGTAGCTGTAGCTGTGGAAAAAATAATCTGATATTTTTATGCTATTATAAGCTTCAAACATACAACTTGTCTCAGAGATTCAGAGAGTTAAAAAAAAAGGCTGTTAGACAACATGCTTCATGATTCACACGAATTAAAGGAAAAGAAAAACTCAACTAAAGCAGGTGAGTAATTCCACAAAAATAATATGATAACTACAAAGCTGGAAAAATATCTATCTATCTCTCTATCCACATCTTAACTTATTAGGTTAATAATATTAATAAAATGTTAATAATATAGAAACTAAACCACACAGATTAAAAATCCAAGCAATGGTTTTCAAAGATAAATATTTCCTGCGCTTTCCAGTACGATTTGCACAATAACGAGACAAATTCCCACTTTTTTACACCTGTCTACATACTTTTCTGATGGATTTTTTTTGTCATCACCATAATAAAAAAGGGGGAGAAAGCAAGTGAAAAAAAAACCCAGATGGCCTCTTCAGGCACTAGAAGATGCAGCTTGTGCTGCTGTTCTTAATGTACTTGCAGTGCTAGCCAAACTCCCTGTTCCCACCCAATGTTCCAATGTTTTTTTGTTTTGTTTGTGAATTGCATCCCGTGGGATAGAAAATAACCTGAACTGATTGTGGCAATTGACTGACTCAGCTGGTGCTGCAGAACATGAACTAAAACTTGTGGAAAAAAGCTATGCTAAGAGTGTGCAGCTTAGAGGTGAGGCGGAGGCTGTTTCTGTCATAATAACTGCATGTAGAAAAATGGTACCAGCTGGGTCCTTTCAATGGCTATATGAGCTTAACAACAATAAAACAAAAATACCTATTTTTCCTCTTGTTTTCAGGATTTCAGAGAGTCCTAGATGTACAGCACTTTAAAAATGCATACTGGCAACAGGTGTGTTCCAACAGAGAACAAAGAAAGAAAAATTTGCCTGGAAGGGAATGATAAAAAGATTGGGAAAGAAAGTAGTCCCATTTGTAAGCACTAATGTTCTAGAGAAACACAGGATATGTTTCTGCTGGGGTGGCAGCATGTCCTTGCATGGGCACCCATGGACATGCCCCACCTATCTGCTTCTGCTTCTATGCTCTTAACCCAGAAACAGGCTGGTGAGGTTGCTCTGGGGTATCCTGCTGTAGCTGTTCCTCAGTCTCCAGTATAATGACCTAGCCAACATATTTTTAGATTTGGAGCTGAACAGCAGGAGTGAGAGGAGCATTTATGCCAGACATGTTTTGTCATGGTGTAAACAAACCCACAGGTTTTGTGATAATGCGACTAGGACTAGGATCTATAGTCCGGTATTCTTTCTGTTCATTTTTCAACAGTGACCTATACAGATGCTTCAGAAGAGAAAGTCTACAGTACCCAGTTATGTGATAACATGGCCTGAAGAGAAAGTTTCCTGTGGAAATGGGGCTATCTCCTGATGCTTAAAGATTTTTAACTTGTCTTGGTTTTATTTTTAAAAAATATTTCCTGTCCTGCTATAACTCTGGATATTTTTGTTACCCTCATAAATGTTTAATTCTTCTTTAAACCCAAAAGCTTGCTAGGAAAAAAGTTTCCAACTATTTAGTTGGTCTAATAAAAGATAACAGATTTACCTAAAGAACCTTGTCTGCTTATGTCCTTAGACCAACATGGCTACAACCTAGACCTCCGTAATTCTTCTTTGAAACTTTCGTGGCCTTGATAATATCTCGTGGCAATGAGTTCCACAAGAAAACTGAACATTGAGTGAAAAAGCATTTTCTAACTTCTGGATCTTGTGAATCTGAATTTGATATCTTCCAATTTACTTGAACATTTCTGTAATGTAAAAAGGTGCGACTATTTCTTATGTAAAAAGGTGACCAGAAACTTTCTACCACCAATACTTACCTATTCCACCTATTCTTTACATTCATTTCTTGTATAATTTTCATATTCATGCCTCCTTCTGAAGGTAAACAATCCCAAATATTAAAATCTCCTTACATATGGCAGTTAATTCATACCCATAATCATTCTCAATGCCCACTTCTAAACTTTCTCCAAATCTGCTGTTTCCTTTTTGTTACAGGGCAATCATGTTAGAACTTAGTACTGCAAAGGGGACATCTAGGGTTGACCATAACAAAATAACACATTTTAAATATCATTGCCTTGTCAACCCTAGGTAATAACTGATGCTAAAGATAACATGTTAATAACCTTTTTGCTAAATATGCTGGATATTCTTAACCACAATAAGCCTCTTGGGCTTGTACCTACATTACTGTTATTGCTTTAACTGTGTTGATTTAAAGTCATACAAGTGAACTAATTAAATCCCTAGCATAAAAGCAGTTGCACTGGAAACTGGTAAATCTTTACATGATATAATTGGATCCAAACTAGTGATTGTACCAAATTAATTGTATCAATGTAAAATAACTCCCCAGCCAGAAATAGTAAAGTTGGTACAAAAAGGGGTGTAGCTTTGGCTTTAGAAGTAAAGCTACACACATAGATTTTTATAAATTTATTTCCTGATACCATTTATGGCAGAAACTAGAGTGACTTTAAAAGGATCACAATTATTAGCCTTGGCTTTTCAAAGGGCTTTTAGATAATGGAAGCTCACTAAAGCCCATCATAGAACATAATGTGGTATTGATTTTCTAAGGCTTTGTACTAGTTTAATTAAAGGTGTGTTTCTAAATCAATTTAGGTAAACTAGTCTAAACTGTGTGAACACCCTGAAATCTATTTAATCCTGTTTACGCTGATTATGCTTAATTTGGTAAGGAAACAATTTGCATCAACTGTTTACAAAAAGGGTTTAAAGGGAATTTAGTTCGAATGGTGACAACTTTGTGATGAAGCAGGCTTTAAGTTTCTCTGTTGTTGGGATGCTAGGTTCCAGTAACTAAGTGTTCAATACTCTGCAGTGATGCATGTGGTCTAATGTGTCTAACACTTTGACAATCTCCTAGAAAAGATACTGTGCAAGTGTGAAGCATCAGTAAACTGCATAATCTACAGATATCACTTTCACTCTCACCACTTCCACTATCCATCATTTGTTATTGTAAAGTGGAGAAGAACTAAGTAGTAAAAATGATGAAAGTACAAGCTTTGGAATAAGAATCAGAAATTCCTCCAGGGTCAATAGTATTCCTCTTACACTTTAGAACTGGGAAACCGCTCTGGCACTGGTGGAGTAGGTGTATAGGAAACCAGATCCATGTATTCTATATCTGTCTGACACTGCTGGGACCAAACAAAGCTATATACCTTTTTAATTACATTTTAAAAAAATATTTTAAGGTATGGCAGGAGGATCGAGAAGATGGTCAAAGATCTGCTGTGGATTTGGTTATTTGGAAATATTCCTGAACTGAAAAACAGCTACACAACCTGTTATAATCATTTACACTCCACTAAACCATAAACCAATGTACACATTTGAGTCTGCAGCTTATAAAATGTATTTGTGATGTTAGCTGCTACAGATGTACTATTAAAGTCATTTTCTGTGTCAACTTTCTATAGGCATGGGTATTTGCAAAATAAGAAGCTACAAAACTCAGTATTAAAGATTCAGAGACTGGTCCCGCATCAGTGAAGTAGATGGGAGTTTCACCATTGGCTTTAGCAAGACTGTTGTTGCAGCATTTTTGTCCCCTATCAAGAATTCTAAAAACCCTAATCCTGCAAACTGCTACAAGATCATAGCGGATTGGGTGGGTGGCAGGAACTTCACAGGATTGGGATTAAGAGATTCTGTCCTGAAAAATGCTGAGTGTCCTCAAGCCTTTTGGGATTTAAGGAGGCTTGGAATCTCTCAGGAGCACTCAAAACCTTGTAAGACTGAGCCCAAAATAAGTAGGCACCAGAGAGCCTTTAGTCAGAAATGAATTTTCTGACTTCATCCAGAAATTAATAATACACATATGCATATATGCTAAACTATTTTACTGAACTGTGACCTTAATTATTGAGTATCATTTTAAAACACAGACTGTCAATAAGTGCTTTGCATCCTTTTATTCCCCTAGACAAATGTGCTACTTTATTTTCCATTCAATTCAAAATATTTATTTTCATTGTGAATACTGTAAGAATGTTTTTGGAATCAAATTGTTTCCCTGGTGAGAGAATATAATCCCGCTGTCTTGTTAGACCAAAACTCATCTATGAAGCTTCATTCAAAACAAATCCCCTGCCAAAATATTTCTTCCTTTTCATTTGGACAGTTGTATTTTTGATATTTTATCTGTAACAAATCCCTCTACAGCTTAGACCAACCTCGGTACAGAGGAAGGTCTCAGTCTGAAAACAGATTAAAGAGCGATTCTCAATCTCAGCAGCCCTTGAACATATTGGCTGTTTTTCATTGCATATAGAATAGAGAAGTGCAGCAAGAGTAACAGTTCACTGGGGAAAAAATCCACAGATATAGTTTATTTTGTCTATTCTTATCATAACTTATTTCCATATGGAAACAGAATTTTTCCAAACAGTGCTACAATATTTCAAGTTCCACTCTCCTGCCCACTGCTCCCCGACTGTTTTATGGAACTCTTCATAAATGAATGGTTAGGTTTCCATTAGATTTACAATGATTATATATGGCTTATGGGAAAACACTTTCCAAAGACAAAAGTTTTCAATTCTGTCATTTTGAAATAACAGGAATATAAGGAAAACTGGAAACATACTGGTGTAAATCATCTTAAGAAATGAAAACTGTCAAATTATTGGTTCCTTATGTAAATGAACTGAATTTGTATTTGGGGAAAAAAAATTAACATCAGTAGCTTGGTAAGGAAGGAGCTTACAGCACTATCTTCAATAAGGTCTAATCTCAGAAACATAGGAAAGTGGGGCTGAAAGAGACCCCCAGAGGTCATCTAGTCATCAAAAAAGATCAGTGAATTTAGATTCTTGTAAACACACACTTGTACGGCAAAAAGCTTATAAAAGCCATTATCATTCCCTATTTGCAGAAGCATGCATTACATAGGCAAATATGCTTTCACTCAGAAAAGGCTATCACAGCTTGTAAGACAAATATATTAGTTAGACATTAAAAGTTTCTAAACCTGGTATGCAAAGTACCAACTTCACAAAAGGCTAGATTGAATCTGTGGGGGCAGTACACAACAACACATGCACCAGGAACTACCATGAAGGAGAATCTTTCCTTGCCCTCAGGGAGGTGTGAAAGCGAAACAGCTTTGCAGGTTGTAGCTTACTTTCTCTCTTTGAATCAGCTCTGTTCTTCTGGCTGGGTTAGTAAGAAGAGAGAGACAAAGTTTCCCCTACATCATTGTGCTCCTCTGTGCCCATCTGCTCTTGGAGTAGGTGGTAAGGAATACTGGGCAGCTCCCTCCAGTGTATGCTGTAGTGTGGGGTGCTACCCAGGGTGCCTGGAACTATACAGGTGGGACCATAATTTGTGTATTAAAATGGTCATGAAATATTTTGAAATTTATCATAATTCAAAACTTGTGTGTGGAATTATCAGACCATACAGGTTCTTTATTCAGTGTATGCTACCTGAACACCCAATACAGACTATCACATGAATCCTCATACACTTCTGTGACAATAAAATGTCCAATCTATATGCAATTTCCACCACGGAATTAATATTTTTAATGCTATCAGACTTTCCAACTCAACCCTGTTGAAACTTAATTATGTGAGTAGCTTTAGTCACCCTCTATGTCATTTTATCAGACTAATCACATAAATAAGCATGACTCACACAAATCAAGGTGTTCAGACTAAGTCCTTTAAACTGCCCTCAAAATGCAGGATGAGCTGTATTTCTCTGTGTCGCAGGGCCCTGCTCCTAGAAGAGCAGGAACTACCTGGGGAAAGCCCGAAGAGCCAGACAGGAGCCCAGGTGCAGGTAGCTATGGCAACCAGCTAATAAGGAATTAGCCTGCACCTGCACCTGGTCAACTGGCCGGAAGGGGCAGGGCCCTGGCCCATATAAACCCCAGGCTGGAGCTAAGGGAGGGCAGTTCTCCACCGGTGGTCAAGGGGGAAGGAGCCCTCGTAGAGTAAGAGAACAGAAGAGGCCTGACTAAGTTCTGCTCCTAGTATGTAAAGGGGCAGAGCACACCTTACGCAGTTTGTGTTATGTTATAGCCCAGGGGCTTAAGTTTTGGTTGTAGTTTTATAAAACCGGTGGTTTGGGTGAGGCTATTTGGGGAAGGAGGAGGCCTCATTGGGGGCCCACTGCAGTGTGGGGACCCCAGTGCCAGAGAGGGCACGGCATTTGGGGTGCACTGACCCCAGCGCCAGTGAGGTGCAGAGACAGGGCTGCAGAGAGCCCAGAGAGGACAAGGGGCCAATTCATACCAAGGCCCAGACCAAACAACGTCAATGCTATCTGTGAGGCTTGGGGCATGGTAAAGGGGTGGTTGGAACCACGCATATAGCCCATAAGGCTAGGGTGCCCCTGAAACACCCCTTGTGAAAACAGGACCCACACGGAGTCCGGGAACCCATGGGGTTCAGAGAGCCCATCAAACTGTGTCCAGGAGGACTTAAAGGCGGCCTCCCTATTTTTATATTTCCATCAAAGACGTGGCGGGCGAGAACTGAGGGTGCCCATCGGGTCAAACTGGCATGGTCAAGAGGCCTTAGGAGATCATGGTCATCTTTAGGCACCCCATCCCGTGACACTATGCCCTAACTGTTAAATTATGGAACAAAAGAGCATCTAAAGGATTTGGAGGGAGTCTAAATTGCATAATCTCTGCTCAGTCAATTCCCCATGATTTGAAACATGGTAGTACAGTTCCCTTGCTTTCTAGTAGTGTTAACCTTAACACTGGCATTTGTAATGCTTCACTTTGAATGGGAAGTAAGTTGTTTTGTTTTGTATTTTTCAATGAGTTTTAGACAAATGTGCTGCTTGCAGACGTTAAACCCCCCCAGTGCTTTACTTTAAATTCTGTGTGTTCCCGCGCCAAGCCTAATGCACGCCCAGAAGAGTCAACGTGTTAGTTGGACTGGCTCACCCAATATCTGTATACATTGGGTGCTTTAGTGGAGCTTTTTTGGTCCTTTTATCTAATAGCTGATTGAATCAGATTTAGCTAAAAGCGTCAAAAAGCCCCACTGCAGCGCCCAATCTAAATAGATGCTGCGTCAAAGTAACATGCTGCTTCTTCTGGTAAAGCACGTTTTGTTTTGTTTTTTTAATGTCTGCAGGCAGTCACTGACTCATTTTACAGAGAGCATAGAAGCAGCATTGCAGGCACTTCCAGAGCCTGGTGATGTGCTGTATTCCTGCAGCCTTTTAAAAAAGCCTGTGCTAGTCATGACATTTAAGACTAAGGAGATGATAACAGGGAGGAACAGGTCACTGTGGCATGAAAAAAGGAAATATAACTCAAATCAAGGAAAGAAAAAAAGGGGTACAAGTGCAAAATAATGAGGATTAAATATTGCCTGAGGCTGGTGGCTAAAGGTTCATGCACTGCAGATCAGGCCAGTTTAAAACCTCACAGACCCTCCTTATATAAGACTTACATGCTAGGTGGTAAAATCAGTTATTCCAGGGAGTGTCGCTCATGGAACTTTTAGTTCAAATATCATTTCATGTCACAACATAACTACCAATGGCCAATGTATGATGTCACACTTAGAAATTAGACTTTATCCAGTAGTGAAAAAAAACAAAACCAAACAAAATGTTGCAGGTCACTGCAGAGGTTTCTGAAACAATACATCCATGGCTAATTAGAATTAGACAGATTTAAAAACAGCATTCTTGAATCTTGCCCCTCATTCTGACTTACTGCCCTTAAAATGCTGCCAGTGCTTTCAGCATTGAAAGGAGGTGTTCTTTAAGTGTCTGTCTGCATGAAGTATGTATTTTTCTGCTTTTGGCATGTAGGTAGCAGCAAGGTGAAAGTTGACACTACAGAAAGCATAATAATTAAGCTAGTAGATGATACGCTTACTTCATATTCTTCTTTAAAACCATAGCCCTCCGCACATTTCATCTGGGTGATATGCTGCAACAAGTCAGCCACACGGATGGCTGGATGAAGCTGTCCGGTCTGGTATGGCACATCTACTGGGTCTCGCTTCTTGTAGGTGTGCGACTGGACCAAGCTGCTTGTATCACTGACCATCGTGTGGGTTTCATCTAGGAAAAGAACACTACATAATATACCAGGATGCTTCCACTCACTGAATAAAAGTATAAAACATTGATTTCTACATGTGTGATTTCTAACAGTGCCAACAACTAATACAACTTCTGTCTAAGAGGACTATGCCAAAAAGTAGTTTTAATAGGGAATAATTTAGGTAGTAATTTATACAGGGAGACTGCAAGATTGGTAGAATGAGGCAATTCCATGATTCTACAATAGAAGCATTGCAGAGCAGCCCAAGCAGTATTATTGTTTGTTTAAACAAAACCAAAACCCTGTAACTGATTATAAACAATATTTAAATTCTCAAGGGATTGGATTCTAAACTTCATAAAAGTCTCTTTTTGAACCTTCTTCAAGTCCCAATGGTATGAAATAGGACTTAGATCAGAGAACTGTTATATATCTTACGCTGTGAATTCAGAACAGATGTTTGGTGTGAGCAAAATAAAAAATGCACAAAATGTTTGATGAGTCATTAAGCTAGGACTGCAATGAAAATGTAGATGCGATACAACACTTTAAAACAAAATACAAGACGACAAATGCAAGGAATCATCTGCTCAAGGAAAGTGTCTCAATGGGTTATTCAGCATGCTGCAGTACCCACAACTTCACAATAGATTATGGGCCATTGCGTTAGGCATGAAATGTTATATGCCAACTGACATGCAAGCCAACACACAACAGTACCAACTGGGTTGGTTAAAATTTGAATGAAAAAACACACTCTCCCACCCCGTCCACATCTCTTTCAGGGGCAAATGGGCAACTTACCATTTATTGGCACTTTTAAGAAGATACATATCAGGAGAAAAAAAGAGGAGGAGAAAAAGGAAACAGGGCATAAGCAACAGTACTACATTAATAATTACAGGTAATTTTATGTTTGCAATTTAGGTCTGATAGATTGATTCCCTAGATGAGCCACTGATTATATGGAAGAGGGCAAGGTTAAAGAAGCAGTATCATTTTCCTCTTGTTTTAATGGATTTTTGTTTGTTTCTTAAATTTGTTTGGCACTTGAGAAGAAAAAAGCCCCCGACACCTGAGGATCAAGTATCATCATAAAATATTCTCTATATTAAACCATTGATTTTGCATTTTTTCCAAAGAGTATTTGGTTTTAATTGAAACTAAAACAATAGAAGCGGTGATTTAATTTGGTCAAAATACTCTTTCACACTAACCATGGAATATGGTTAATGAAATTAATACACTGGAAAAATATTTGCTGAAAGGGGATTGTGACAATAATAATATTTCTGCATTTTTAATTAATTTTATTACAACATAGAGATCCCCATTCTGTCTTTAAAAGAATGTCCCTATGATCTCTCTCACCTTCCAAAATTGCTACAACCCTTCTTAAGGACTAGATACTGATTTCAGATATACCAGTGTAAATTAAGATGAATTTAACTGAAATCAAGTACTTCAAGTTATTGGTGTCACACTAAAGTTTACTTTTATGCAACTAATATCAAATCTGGTCCTCAGCAGATAGCAAGTAGATGTGACCAATAAACCTAAATCTAAAATTAAAATTATTTAGAGTTATTTATTGACATAGATATAGATTTTCCCTAATAGTTCTGATACTTTAGTTACATGATCCAAACTAAAGGAGAAGTTTACATTTTTATTCATTAAATTTGGCTACTTCTGCCTAATGTGCAGCAAAACTGTATTGCAAAGCACCTTGGGATGCATGGCATGAGAGGCGATATACAAGTGTAGTTACAGTATGTTGCTGTTGAAATGGCACCTGAATACTACAAGGCGGCTAAGACACAAAAGACAAAAAAAAGTGTAGGAAGTTGATTGCATGATTTGTTTTTATTTTAATCAGTTGAATTATAGGGTAATTTTTGTTCAAACTATGAAACATAACTCTGAAATGTTTAAGGATCATTCAGCTTGCAAAGCCTATAACATGGCAGGGTCTTCTGCTTAAGCCTCTAAGTACATTACTCTGGTGGGCTTGTCTGGATTGTAGGCTAAATGGAACAAGCATCTTCCTCCACCCCTCTCAGCTTCATCTTTCAGGACAGCTGTTAGGTTTGGAAATCAGCTTTTTAAGATTTCTACAAAAAAGACCCTATGATGCCTGTCTTGGATAGTTTAATATGGCATTTTGTTTTGCTTATAGAAAAAGAATCTGAGACACTAGCAGTCAATTGCTTTTGTAAGGGTTGAGGCTCTCCAGCTAATGTAGGCACACATCGCTTGTTAATTTAAATATCTTTGCTATAATTATTCATTTAATTCAACTATCCAGTTATTGGTCCCATTGCTTTTGTCCAATAGTACTGTGCAAGAATTGTTAAATGGCATAACTGTTTAGCATTAATTTGAACCAAGGGACTTGTAGACAGCCCCCAGTTCAATGTCATATTTTATATGGTTTAGGTAATTTTTTTCTGTCTTGTTACTTCCTTTCTCCTTGCAGTTTGAAATGCGTGCAGAACATTGAAAAACAGGCAGGTACTGTTAAACCTGCCTGCTTTAGGCCAGTATATCAATACAGATATTGAATCTCAGTGGAGATGCACAAAAACCCCATGATATAAAGGGCTCATTTAAACACACAGGGTTTCACTTTGGTTGTTAGGTTAACTGTGAGAGTCCCACAATTGTATGAAAACAAGTGAATCCAGGAAGTTGAGAGTGAGCTTGACTGTTGCCTTTTTCTTCATTTAAGGAGACTGCTATTAATTGCCAGGTAATTTCTTGCAACAGGTGGGGAAGATCCTAATTTGCATGCCTATTCTAAGGAGCTTGCCATAGAAAATGCTGGAAATTATAAATTCGTGGTGACCCTTCTAGTAGCTACTGATCTGAAAAAAGAAAACTAAACAACTAATCACAGACAGGCTCTGCCCTCCCAGTAGGTCATGTAGAACAGTTTAATTGGTTCCAACTATAGGCCTGACCCTGCAGTCCAAAACCTCCCACAGGGCATGCAAGGACTGAAAGATCAGTCATTATGTTCCATAAAAAGCCAACCATTAAAACATTTGTAAGCTGGACTGCAAAATTAACTGTTACTTTTAAAAGGTCTGGGCCAGACCGTTAGCTTGATTGCTCTACTGCCTTAAGCCAAGCTGCTCTGGTTTAAAGTTGCACCCTACCCCTCATGTACACACACACACACACGCACGCACGCACGCACGCACACTTAATGTCTGGCAATTCATTTTTGTGTGAACAGCATACCAATTCTAACATAAAAGGCAACAAAATATTTTTCTTCCTACAATATCAGTATGGGAAGAAGTTCTGGGAAGAGTTAATACAAGTTTGTAATTGTTATAATTGCAATTGCATGTCCTGCCAACTCAAGAACTTCTACCCTATTGTCTCAGTAAAGGAGATTTGGCCCTCCAGCATGCTTCTGGTATGATAATTCTTTATTCAAAGATTATTCTTCATCAATAAAAGCTAACAAGTAATTTTTCCCATTTATTCGTGTCCATAAGTAATTGAAAAAAAATCTGAGAATACATTAGCTAAGCTTATCACAATCACGATATCAAATCACAAAGTTTTTCTCCTGATAATGCTTTTTCTCTCTGCCCACCCACAAGGTCAGGAGCGTACCTACTGGATGAGCTGCAGCTAAGGTACACAATTAAATCTAAAATCTCAGGCAGTCAAAAGACTCTGTAAATTTCATTTGCATGCAGATTCTTACATTGTTATGGTGACTACTACAGTGACTATATTCTCTCAGATCTACACAGAGTGCAAAAATGCACAGGTTCTTTTATTTGGATATTATATTAAAATAATTTTTACTAATTATTTCTCCACTTTGTTATATGAATTTTGCAGAAATTACACTTTTAGGCTTTAGCCTCCTATACTTTTCAGTTAATTTATCCTTAAGGTGTCATAAGTCAGTTTGTGTTTTTTTTGTTTGGTTTTTTTGCTTACAGCTTAAAATCAATGTAGAAAGAACTGTATTGTGCACAAATCCATGATGCTTTGCAGAAAAGGGAAGAGGAAGAACAAATATATTTTGTAAGGTACAAGCCAGTGTAAGGACAGCACTAGAGGACATTTGAGTTAGATCTCTTCCTAGAGTGCATTCTTATATCTTTATTTATAAAAACCTCTATTTGAGTTAAGGTTAGTACTATGGTATTAACTCCACACAAGCCACAACACCATTTTGTTACTTTTGCACTGCAAATACAACAGCACCTCATGCTGATTTATTATCGTAGTGTAGAAATGCCATTCTACTCACTTCTTTATATTGAATAAATAACTGTACTTTTCCTAAGTTCCTGGTGGAAATGTTTTATACTTTAAATGCATAACACTACCATTTTACTTTGTTCTTTGTGACACCCGATGTATAATAAACCACATTTTATTATAAAGTGCCATTCTGTCATTTTGCTGTTCAAAATACTGTTTCCTCTGAAACGTCACTGTGACAAGTATGTCAGAATCCATGTAGTATTGTAAAAAAAAAAAAATGAGTGGGTTGATGGCCAAAAGTGTATTTTGATTCAATTTCTACATCATTCATAGTTTAATTAGGGAAAACGTTATTAAAAAAATGGCATTGTCAGTTCAAAGTTAAAACTGAAAGTCTTGAGAAGCTCTTTTAATTGCTAGGATAGTCACATTCTTTTGTGTCACTCTTATCATATGCATAAACATTTCCTCACAAAACCTCTTTTTAAAACAGTGTTTTGTTTTTCTCTGCTCTATCACCTGATTTATTCCAAGGCAGTGGGAATCTAGTCCACTGACTGCTCTCAGTATATTCAGTGCTGAATACCCTTCTCCCACTTCCTAACATAAGATACCGGTCTCTTAGACACTATGTTCTATAACCCAGAACTACAACTTTCTAAATTACTTCTGCAATAAACTTTGATAAAGGGAAACGTTCTCACCTAAAATTGCAGTTGGCACAAATGGATCTGTCATACATCGTAAGCGGTCAATGCAGAAAAGGTAAAAAGAGAGAGAACAGTAAATGACTGATAAATGTTCCCCAGTTTTCCTGCAAAAAGCCACTGAAAGCAACTGGTTATAACAGGTAAAAGTATTAAGTTCCTATGGCAGGATGTGTAATAAAATATGAATAATAATTATATGTAGTTTAATTCTAATGTGGTATATGAAGGGGTGAATCAAAGAGAAAAATAATGGTTACCTGGATAGTAAGAATTAGGCACCGTTGTGCTCAGTGTGTTAGTTTTCATTGTAAATGAAGATGGTGACGATACAGCTGTGAAGAGAAACAAAGCTAGTCAGTGACAGCAGAGACACTCAGATGTTTAAGTCTAGTGATAAAAGCATATGTAATTGATTTGATTTATGACCCCAATTCTGCTCCCTTCGAAACAGCAGCATTCCCACTGGCATCATGGAAGCTGTATCTCCTGGGTAATTACTAGAATGGCTTAGTTAATATTGACTAATTCTCTGAAAATCATTTTGGTTTGATAAAGCAATTTATGCACTGGAATGAGTAATATATTTGAGTAAGATTGAATGCTATATTGTGAATAAGGAAGTATTTGCTGTTTATGGTAGCTTTAAGAATTAAAATATTGCAGGTACTACCGGCAAATATTCTATTACAGCTAATTTGTTTAAATGTATTTCTAGCTGGTCATATATGTGATAATATATATTCACATAACATGCTGCCCTAAATCAGTGGTTCTCAAACTTTTCAGTCAGGACACCCCTCCACAACTACTTTGAATGCGGCAGCATTCTTGGTTGAGAACCTCTATTGTACTCAACTTACAAAGTGGTTCTCAATTAGCTTATGCTGCTGCCAAGTAAAACTGCCCTGTGTGCCTGATGCATAGCCAGACAGGGAAGGGCTGTGGTACGTGATCTTCCTACATTAGTGTTCTCTGATAAGCCTAAAGAAGGCAGAAGAATTGGCTCAAGCTGCAGCCCTTTGTGGTCTGACCTTGCACAGCATCTCTTGGAAACAGAGGCTCATGGGACAGGTGGAACTGGATGATGTGGTGCATATAGCACCATAAGATAGAAAATGTTAAATAACTGAACAGTTTCAAAGGGAGTTTAAAGGCCTGAAAAAATTCAAGAAAGGTACAATCTAAAGGATGAATAAGAATGCTAGATGGCTATGGAATACTCTATTTTAAATACTCTCTGGATGCATCTACACGTGCATATTAATGTTCTTGGATAAATTCTGGAGTTTATTGCTCCCAGGCACATGTCTTGATGTGTGCTCAAGACTGCAGCAGGTTGAGCTGGGTTGGAGCAGCACTGGCTGGAAGGGGGCCCAAGGGATCAGCCTGCCAGCCCAGGGCTGCTCCCCCTGGCTCAATGTGCTGTGGAGCAGCTCACTGGGGCATGAAGATGCTTCAGCGTGGGGTTAGCCAGCAGGCAGCCCTGCAATGAAGCATCCTCATGCCCCAGCCAGCTGGGGAGCATCTACACGTGTGCTGCTGCGGAGTTTTTTACTCTGCAGCAGGACAGTACTTGTATTTACAACTAATTTTGGATAATGCTTGCATTTACAACTAATTTATTCTGCAGCAGGATAGTACTTTTATTTATCACCTGATTGATTCCAAATACTATCTTGCTGAGGAGTAAATTAGCTCACTCCAGCCTCACAGAGGTGCACATGTAAACACATGACGTTTACTGCACAGCTAATTAGTTTAGTTTTAAATATCTTGTGTAGATGCAACATCTCAGTGCCAGGTTTGAGGTTCTACTTTGTTCCCAAACTTTGAGCCATACATCCAACCCCAGCCTAAGACTGAGCAGCCTGAAATTTCTAATTTTTGAGGACCATAGATGTTCTGTAGGGGGTGCACTTAAGGATGTTGAGGCTCCTTTTTATGTTCCATGTATTAGCAGTTGGGGAGGGAGTATTCCCTCCTCTGGTTACTGGCTTAACCGGTTAGTGTTAGGGCTCCTGCAACAATGGAAAAGCCATCCCAATGCAGGGCAAGACCTGAGCCATAAACTATAATGGGAGGTGAGAATATTGCAAATCCTACAGGAATAAGTTCTTAATAAAAATCCATCTGAACTGTTTATTCCATCAACCTGATTCCTGTGGTTGCCACATTCAGTGGAAGTTTAAGTTTAAGGTTCAGAATTTCAGCTAGTATAAAACATCACAGTTTTATTGATTTCAACAGAACCATAATGATTCATACAAATTGAATATCTAAGCACCAAGTACTTATTGATATGTTTCCCAAAACATAGTGTATACTCTTGCTGTTGTGAACATCTAATAACTTCAGAGCAAAAATATCCTGGAGAATAAATGTCTAGCCAAATTTTATTCCATTACTCAAGTGAGTAATCCAATTGACTCATGATGGCTCAAAGGAGAAAGGACAGTAAGATCTGGCCCACAAAACAGTTCTATTTATAAGCAAGAATAAAAGCAACTAAAATGCAAACTAAAATCTACAAACACTGAGCCTGATATTAGCAAGAAAAGTCTCATTGCATAAACCCAGTTGAAAGTGTTTGCACAACTGGACTCTTCAAAGATATGTTCTTAAGTATGCAATGAAAGGGAAACACATTTTACATAATGTTGATATCAGAAACAGTAACAATATTTAATATATGAAATTATACCTCAAAATTCAATTTCAAGATATGCTCCAAAAAAGTACATATACAGAGAATTACCTATTAAAATCTACACTAATACCACTCAACTCCTTCTCTGTGCCTGGAAGATAAAAAGCATTATCTAGAACTTGACATAATAAGAATTGACCTCTTGATAAACTGAGCTTTGAGACAACAACACATATGAACTTATGACTTTTAAAAATAAATTCTGCCTAAAAATATGGGGGAGGGAAATGAAAGGGCATGGGGACATTGTGAAGGATAGAAAACTTTCAACACAGTAAATAGTTAGCAAAATGCAAACCCATACCTGCTGCACTAATGTCTTTGCTCTTCATGTGGAAGAAAAGGAAAGACAGAAAAAGCTCAATTATCCTTATTATTTTTAAAGGAGCCTATTCTTGATGTCTGACACACTGGCTTTTTAGAATACATGCTGTAATGTGCTGCACAGTGGGAGAGACCAGATCCCATAGATTTTCCATGAGTGAATAACCTGTCCGCAAAATTGATTGGGTAATGATTGAATGGGTATTTTAAGAACCATTTGCACCCTCCTTCCCTGTTCAAAAATAAAAGAGATTTCTGTATCTCCAAGCATTTTGAACTTACATCTCCCATTTAGGTTGTGTGTGTCCATGAAAGAGAAAGCTTCGTCACAGTTGGTGCCTTGCTCGGTGTAGCTTTTATCCATTGAATTCACCATCACTGTCATTTCCTGCCGGGTACTACTCAGCGTCTCTTTCCGCTTTTTAGCCAATTTTCTTAAGAAATGAACATCGATGGGAAAAAAGAAAAACAATAAAAAAAAACCAAAACCCAGTGAACACACAGTATTCATTATTTAGTTCGGTTTTATAGTTTGCAACTATCTTATAGACTTAATAATTGCTTTTGTTATTTCACTCAGTTCCAAATGACTTAACACTCATGTCATTAAATATAATCTGATAATCAAGGGCCGACTTCCAACATACTTACTTGTATTGAATAGCACCTCACTCCTTGAGGTGTATGACTAAATTAAGTCCGTTAAGCAAAGTCTCAGACTGAGAAGCCAGTCTGAGTGGGGAGGAGTCCAGTAGAGCTGGCTGCACTTTAAAGATACCTTACTGAGAACGCAGGAATAAGCCATACCATTGTGCAGGAAGGAGTTGCAGCTAGCAAGAGATATGCATATATGACTATGCAGTAACAACTGTGCAGTCTGCTGCACATGTGAACATGGCCATAGTGACCTACACAAATTGGAGGATTGGGCCAAAAGAAATCTCATGCAGTTCAACAAGTGGGAAGTCCTGCACTTTGGATGGAACAATCCCATGTACTGGTACAGGCTGGGGGCTGAGTGGCTGGGCATCAGCTCTGCAGAAAAGGGCCTGGGGATTACAGTGGGCAATAAGCTGAATATGAGCCAGCAGTGTGTCCTTGTTGCCAAGAAGGCTAACGGCATACTGGGCTGCATTGGTAGGTGTGTTGCCAGTAGGGCCAGGGAAGTGATCATTCCCCTCTATTCAGCACTGGTGAGGCCACATCTGAAGTCCTGTGTTCAGTTTTGGGACCCTCACTACAGAAAGGATATAGATAAATTGGAGACAGTTCAGTAGAGGGCAAAGAAAATGGTTCAGGGGCTGGGGGACTTATAAGGAGAGACTGAGGGACCTGGGCTTATTTAGTCTAGAGAAGAGAAGACTGAGAGGGGATATAACAGCAGCCTTCAACTACCTGAAGGGCGGTTTGCAAGAGGATGGAGCTAGACTGTTCTTAATGACAGAACAAGGAAAAACAGATGACAGAACAAGGAGCAATGGTCTCAAGTTGCCGCAAGGGAAGTTTAGGGTAGATATTAGGATGAACTTTCTCAATAGGTGGGTAGTAAAACACTGGAACAGGTTACCCAGAGAGGTTGTGGACTCTCTGTCTTTGGACATTTTTAAGACGTGGCTATTCAAAACCCTGGCTGGGATTATCTAGATGGAGGATGATCCTGCTTTCAGCAAGAGATTGGACTAAATGCCCCTCCCTCAAATTCCCTGCCAACTCTAATTTTCAATGATTCTGTGATAAGGTGCTATGAGTTAGATTTTCAAAGGATAGCCTCAATCAAATAAAATAAAATGACAAAATATGTCTTCGTGGCCAAGACACTGAAAGCGGTAGACCCAGTGGCAAAAGACAATCTAAAACAGCTCTTGGGTATTTTAATTCTGATCCCCTTGCTCCATCAAAGCCAATGAAAGCATCTCAGCATCTATGGACTACAATGGTGGTAGTGATTGTCATAACCCAAAGGTATGATTTTGTGTGTGCTTCGGCACTAGAATTATCCCCGCCAAATTACAGCTTCATTACACGGTAGAGTTTTCTGCTGCAGAGGAGAACCCCGGTGCAAGGAAGAGTTTCCCGCCAATTTGTGGCTTCCTTTGCAGAGTGCATTGCTCAAGTTGCAAGAGAAATGCACGGTGCAAAGGAGTTCCCGCCACCCACATGCAAATTGGTTCCCCGTTATTGGCTAGTTCTAAATTATTCCCACGTGGCGGCTAACGATTGGCCTGTTAGCCGTATAAAAGGCTTGAGCAGTTTCCACCCAAGCCGAAGAGGACTCCACATCCATCTCGTGGGGACTCTGGGTACACGGCAGGGTAATAGAAACCCTGTGTGAGATTCAGAGGAGCTTGGCGACCTAATCCATCGCCCACCTCTTCCCGTCTTCGAGCGATAAATTTTATAAGACGTATCTACGAAGTTTCTATTTCGGTGGCGCACTTGTCCAGAGCATCCGGAGCTCTGTTTCTGTGGAGCCTAGCAAACTCCACGTAACTGTTTGTGTTGTCTTTGTCTGTAACCGCAACTCAAGCAAGTTTTCCAGCCTGCACCGCAACCATCTCCAGTGTAAGTAAACAATCTTTAAATCTACCGCTACGAGTCTGTGCCTGATTCTAGCTTGATGCACCCTCTCTCCGACCCTGCGTGCCCGGGCTGCTGGCCACAGCCCGCGCAGAGCACAAAAAAGGGCCCGGCTCGCGCCTGGCCCGCACAGTGATAAGGATGATTGTGATACTGGAGAATGGTGCTACTTAGTTGAGAGAAGTGCAACATATATGGGCTTTCACAACCTCATCAAGGTGCCCAAGGGACAGGTGTGGGGAAGAAGAAAGTGGGACGTGTTTTGAGAGTGTACATAGACAAAGCGGGTGTGGGAAAGGGTATGCTGCTTTCTAAGTGTCACCAAAATAAACATGTCAATTAGTGCAGGAGATAGTACTGTATGGACTCATATCAAAGGGACCAGAAGAAACGTTATTAAGAACTTTATTAGTATGTGTTAAAACTAGTTCATGGAAACTCTCTGGGTGTTTAAGGAGTTGGCTTTCACTGAAAGAGAGTGCCTGAAGCTGGAGCTGCATGAACTGAAATACTGTATCCATCAGGGCAAGGATGAGATTGGAGAGGAAGAGGTGAAGGAGAAGTGGGGGCAAAAGGACCGAACATGCTTGTTTCACCAAACCAACAGCGAGGACTGATGGAAAGGTAGAGCGTTTCAGGATCTGTAGGTAATTGTTTTTTCATGGGGTTCTGTATGAAGAAAAAGATTTTTGTAAGGGTTTGGTTTTTGTGGGCAGTTGATGTATGTTGTTTAATGGTTTAATACAGGGGTGGGCAATTATTTGGGCCTGGAGCCCACATAGGGAGTTTTTCTGAGCTGTCCTGAGCTGGGTAAACACCCCCCTCCCCCCTTCCCACAACAATGGGCTCTGGGTGGGAGTGGGACAGGCATGATCTGCTCCCTGCATGCCCTGCCCTGTGGGAGAAGGGTGGTATAAGGTATATGGTTGTGTGTGGAGGGGGTGTGTGCATGTGTGTGTGGGGGGGCTGCCTGGGAGCCAGCTTGGGATGAGGTGGAAGTGCATGCAGCTTGGGAGGTGGGGAGTGCATGCAGCAGAGCTCACCAGGTCCACAGCTGCCCCTGCAGCACTCCACATGGGGCCAAGCCCTGCCCAGGGCAGCCCATACTATACTCTCACCCACATCCACTGGCCCTGGCCCTGGCCTTGACCAGTGCACAGCTTCTGGTGAGGCTGTTCATGGTGTGACCGTAGCTGGCCAGGTGCTGCTCTGCCACCCCCATCTCCAGGGAAGCTGCACCTCCACCTGCTCACTTGGAGGTGCTGAGTGGGCAGCTGGCTGGCTGTGAAGCCAGCAGCAGTGCAGTCACCACGGCTGCTCTGTCTGGCTCTGCAGGGCCCCCCGAAGCATGGGGCCCGGGGTGGTTGCCCTGATTCACCATTCCCAGGGACATCCCTGTTAATGATAGACAATGTCCCTAGTGAGATTTTCTTGTATTTGAATGTAAGATGAGGAGCTTTCTTCCCCATGCTGATTGTCTGTAAAAAACCTCATCTTATATCCAAATAAATACAGTAATAAAATAACACAGTTCTTAATGGAATGAATGGAATGAACCTGGAATGAATTCATTTTGGGATTTACCCATCTAATAAATGAATAATTTACACAGATCCTTAGATCACCCATGAAAATGATTATTTTCTCCCTTGCCAATTTCTCCTTTAGAAAGAATGTAATTTTTTATGAATATGATAGCACAAAATTGACATATCTTCTATTAGCAAAAAGCCTTGCATTTCTTTAAAATCCAGCAACATTAAAACAGACAAGCTAAGACACACTATGGATTACTGTATATATATCCTAAATACTAGGTTAAATATGGTTCAAATAAATATCACGTGGAATGATTACAAAAAGGCTTCTGAAAGCAAATGAAATACCAGGAATGCAAAATTATTTTACAACCTCCTTTAAAAATAATGGTTTTACAAGAAAGAATCCGTGTGTGTATGTCCATACATATATCAGAGAAAATAAGAGAACCTTTAAACTATAATTTCTTTACTTTGGACTTTGTTACTCTCTGAAGATTTAGAACCCAACAATAAATCTTTGCTTTGCAAAGGAGACAACCCTTGATCAATCCTGACTATGGTCTTTGGACTACTCCCACATAACAAACAGGCTATTAAGCAGACTGGTCTTTCTTTCATGATATGCAGGGGGAAGCTGGTGCTGATTGGCTCCCTTTTTACAGGTCTCCTGCGCCATCATTAAATAGACTGCTCCCAGGTTTGTTGACCCAATACCTTTTCTCTCTTGCTGCAGAGGATAGAACAAGGACCAATGGCTTCAAGTTGCTGCAAAGTAGGTTTAGACTGGATATCAGGATAAACTTCTTCACTGTTAGAACAGTGAGGCAATGAAACAGACTAGGGGAAGCTATAAACTCCTCCAGTAATGGAGAGGCCAAGAAGAGGTTGGACAGATAGTGGTCGGGGATGATCTAGGCATAGCTATGCCTGTGTTTTACTCTGGGTATTTCCCATGCTTCTGGGCTTTGCTGGTTGCCACACAGGGCTTGGAGAAAATCTCTCCCCCCTCCCCACAACGTTGTGTGTGAGGTTTTTTTTTTTAAGCCTCTCTCAGAGGCTCTGGGTGTTGGGTGTTGATTGCAGCCAAGGCTGGGGAATTTGATAGGTGATAGGCCTCACTTCTATGATTCTAAGTGCTCTTTCCAGCTGACAGTATGTGACAACCTGGAAAATATGTGGACGGTAGTGACCAAAGTTTGACTTCAGCAGCTGCATATACCTCTTTATTCCACATACCTTATTCCTCTTTAGTTTGTTATCATCTGACTGACAAACACTCCACAACAGTAGCAAACAGAAGAGCTTCCTATCTCCCT